GTGCGTGATGGCAGCCTTACTGAAATCTTATATCGATATTTTCAATAACTAATTGATCGTTCTTTATCTTGTTTTCATACGATAAGAAATAGTAATTAAAAAACTGATGTCTAGCTTAGTCTGTAAAAACATTCATTTTCTCTCTCATAACATGTGGACGGGGCCTATCCAACTAAAACACGTGAAGTTTTAATCGAGGCTAAGACTGAGCAAAACGAACTCGAAATGAGAGTATTCGAACTTTATTCATATTGCTTGGGCTCACCAGTTCCGTCATCAGTGGGTTGGGCTTCCTTTGTGGTGATTTCTTCAGGGTTGTCGTCAGAGGGGGCTATTTGCTCAGGTATGTCGCCTTCGACTTCGAACTCAACGTCTTGATCAAGATCCGTCCTATTCAAAAAGAAATTGAAATCAAAAATTGGAAGCTGAGTACCTGGAAATTCGCAGCTTTTGTACTTTCTTGGGTTGCCTGTGGTGCGTGTTATGATACCACAGGCAGCCCAATCAAATGGTTGCATCAACTACACTTACTTGTGTATGATGTTAATGACAAGCTCGTAGTTTTGTAAGAAGTCATCTGCCTTTAGCCTTGTCCCACTGGTAACATGGAAGTCACTCAACACCTTTGAAGAAATTTCTGAAACGAAAAGAGCGCGAATGTAAAGTGTGTGCAACCATGTGACCGAATATGATATGAATAACAATAAAACGGCAGCCATGTTGGTTAATATCTAACGAGAGAAGCTAATGAAGAATGCTTTGTTATCGTCAACTGACATGGCGTCTATGACGTAATATGCACATGCTAAATAGGGCAGTTTTCAGACTGTGAAAAGCTCAGTGCCGTAAGCGTGACGTGCCATTACCGTGATACTTTCTAGAATTTTAATTGGCTGATTTTCTTTTTTTTCCACGCGCAATATGATTGGTCTGGCATTGCCGTGCTCTTGACGTGACCGTGTCCGCGCCGTGTTTATGCCGTGTTCCGGGTATTTGATTGGATGGAGAGTAATTTCTCGTGCAATGTGATTTGTCTGGCGTATCCCTTGCTGTGTCACGACCGTGTTCGTACCGTGAACTTTTCAAGGTCATACGAAAACTGCACTAAGAACTCTCGACCGAAAGCCATTTCATTATTACTGCGCATGCTCGACGAAATTCCAGGCTCTGGGTTGTGCGGTAGCCAAAAAAAAAAAACAGAACCACAGGGAACCCAACAAAGATAAAAATAATAGATGAAAAATTAAAATTAAAATAAAAATTAAAAAGGAATTTTAGAACAAAGAAAGTGCGCTTTCTAAACTACGAAATCAAAATCTACATACGACGGCCACATCGACGGAAGTGTAAACAATTTCTCTTTGGGGTTCTGTTCATTTGAGATTTCTTCAACACTTCCGGTTGACATCGCCTTTGTAGATTTTGCAAATCTTAAAGTCCCATCATCAAGATGACAATGACTGACGCCGAGGATTAGGTATTTAAACTTGTTTAACAAGTTATCTTACCATCGGTTTCTCCTTCCTCGCTGGACACAAGAATGGTACCTAAAATATTGAATAAACTGAGATTTCAGTAAATACGCCATTCATTTATTGATTCTTGAGAAAAGTAACTACATTAATTCAGCCACATAGTCATGGTTCCGATTCTCCCTAGGTACCGTTGCTACGGTATGTATGGAGCAATGTTTAGCGGTGAGTGTATGACGTCACAGACACCTATAGAAGTATAATATAAAAATATGATACTTCCCATTGGATTATAAAGAAAAAACTTTAACCAGTGATTATTAAACCCTTAAAGATCATTCCATTGAAGTTTCAGCCGAATTAAATTTCGGAAGATTTTCATGCTAGTCCCCCTTTAAGAAAAGGTCAGAAACTTACAAGGGAGCTGAAATGTGTAACGCCATAACCATGCTTCGGAATATTCAGATATGCAAATTATGGGAGTTTCGATACCATATTTGGAATTTTCAAGATGGCCGCTTCTATTACATATTGAATTTCCTGGCTTTCAAGGAGATTTACTGAATCTTTTAATCAAACATTAGGGATATCTATCTTTAATTTAGTTTTGTGAGGACGTGATTTACTTGGAAGAAATTTGACAAGAAAAAAGTTGAATATTCCGGAGCATCGCACAAAAGAAATGTATGGCTGGTTTTCAAATCAATCCCAAGGGAGTGAAATAACAAAAGACACGGCGGCCATGTTGGATGATACAACGAAAGAATTCATTGACAATTCTTTTGTTAAAATCATCCAACATGGCGACTATGACGTCATGTGCAAACGAAGAATAGCTGTTACACGTTTCCACCCCTTATGAGTTTCTCGAAAAACCAATTGATCAAAACCTCACCCTTGCCATCATCTACTTCGACATCAGGTGCTACCATGCCAAATCGCTCTTTTAGAATCTAATAGAGATAATAAGACACCAAATTTAAAATCATTTTGATCAAGAATAAACTGAATAAACCGTTTTTAAATGCGTGCTGACAGAATATCTCTGACAGAAAGGACAGGCCGAATATCTCTGATAGACGTATTTGTTATACCCCACCCCCCCCCCCCCTCCCCCTTAGACAACGTTTCCCCTAGAATAACAATTCAGTAGCGCTACTTGATCATAGCCATGCAAAATTCGCGTTCCCAAAACTAAACCGCGCTTTAGAGGTGAATGGCTGTTTCGGGGGTGGAAATGAAAATTCATTTACGCCGCAATGCCTACGGGAAGAAGCAATGGAATACTGCTGAATGTACGACTGCTATCCTGCATTCTGATTGGCTGAATTTCCAATGGCGCATGTTGAGTGACATAAGAGCAAATAATATCAGAGAGTAACACTCTTTTGGCTTCAAATAACTGTTTCAATTCGAAGGCATTTTGGTCAACAATACAGTGTATGTATAGAAACTGACCCGAATGCCTGGACTTAAAACAGTTGTATGAGAGCAATCTGCCGTCAAGCTACCTTTGCAGCTTATAAGGTTCAATCAAAGCTTTTGTAAGACAATACGTTTCTCAATTCCAGGAGCGGCAGGATCTCTGACATATGTCCTTGATATGTTGCAAGTTCCAAAAATACGGATTAGGAAAGTATGAATGAGGAACGTTTAAAATCAAACCAAAAAGACAGCGCGTGGCCATGGCCATGATGCTACAAGCAAGACATGTAAAAAAAAAAAAAAAAAAAAAAAAACCAAAGGAAAAACCTCAACGTCAACTGGTTTCACTGTACCTTTTCTTCCAAGTTCTTTAAGGTTAATGTTTCAGTGTTGACAAGAACTGTAACCTGGGAAAGAAAGGAAAAAAAGGCGTAACTTTTACAAACAGACAAGACTCTTGCCTCGGTGATTCTAGACGTTTTTAAAGGGACTCTGAGGTGCCAGACACATCATAGCTTAAAATGTACATCAAACCTTTTTGATTTTGAAAATCGAAATGAAAATTCCATGAAATGC